GAAAAATTCACTGGACAGGATTAAAATCAGATTGGCAGCAGCAGAAGAAACTGTCAGTGAACATGAAGATAAGTGAACAGAAATTACGAACCTGAAGAACAGAAAAAAAAAGACTGAAAAAATTTTAACAGAGTCCTAGTGACCTGTGCAATAATACTAAAAAGTCCAACACACATCATGCAGGATAAGTAAGGAAAAGCTCACAGAGGTACATTGTAGTCAAACTGCTGAAAAATAAAGATAAATAAAATATCTTAAAAACAACTGTAGAGAACAATCATTCAAGAAAAATGTTTTCTATATATAAACACGTATGACCACATGACCCAGTTATTTCACTTATAGGTATTTATCCAAGAGAAACGAAAACATATGTTCACTTAAAGAACTGAACATGAATGTTGATGGTGGCTTTATTTACAATGGTCCCAAACTAGAAACAATCTAAACGTCCCTAAATAAGAAAATGGATAAGTAATCTGTGGCATGACCATACAGTGGAATATTACTCACTGATAAAAAAAGGTAACACTGATGATTCTCAAAATAATTATGCTAAGTGAAAAAAGCCAGTCACAAAATAATACATACTGTATGATCCTATTTATATGAAATTCAAAACAATCTACAGTGACAAAAATCAGATCAGTGGTTGCCTGAGGCGGGAGGTACTGAGGGGAGAGAAGAATGGACTGCAAAGGGGCACATGAAGTCCTTTCAGATGAAGGATGTTTCCTGCATCCTGACGGCGGTGTGGTTGCATGGGTATATACAATGTTGAATCCATCAAATTTTAAATGGATAAAGTTTATTATATATAAATTATTTCTCAATAAAGTTGAATTTAAAAAACAATAGCCAGAGGGAAAAGGATATATTACATACAAGATACATTACACACAGTGACATAAATGACAGCTGACCTCACATGAAAAACACAACAGACACCAAAAGATTATAGAATGATATCTTTATAAGCACTGAAAGAAAAACAAAACAAAACAAAAAACAAAAACCCTCTTCCAACTCAGAATTATTTGTCAAAAATATCCTTCAGAAATAAGAGTGAAATAAAGACATTTCAGAAAACAAAAACTGAATTTGATGTTTGCAGACCTTAACTAGAAGAAATACTAAATGAAGTTCTTCAGATAAATGAGAGATGAACCCACATGGAATCTTAAAAAAGGAAAGCAGAGCAGTGGATGGTAAACATGCAGGTAAAACAGAAGACTACATTTTTATGCTCCTCTTAATTTAAATTTACACTGACAATTTAAACCCCATTACACGTTGAGATTTATAACATATGCAGATGTAAAGTACATGACAAAACAGCACAAAGGCTGGGGGAGGCAAACAGTTCTTACATTTCACATGAAGTGGTACAACATCAGCTTTAAGGTGACTGTGATAAGTTACAGATGCATGTTGTAATCCCCAGAGTAACTGCCAAAAAATACAGTTAGTATACCTAAAAGCCAATAAGGGAATTAAAATGGATACTAAAAAATATTCAATTATCAAAAGAATTTAGGAAAGCAGGTACAGACTAACAAACAAACAAAAGGGACAAATAGCAAGGTGGCAGACTTTAACACGTATCAGTAATTACATTATAAGTGAATGGCCAAATATCCCAATTAAAAAGCAGAGGTAAACTGTATAAATAGTAAGACCTAATTATATACAGTCTACAAGAACTGCACTGAAACTGTAAAGACATGCAGGGTGAAAATTAAAGGGAGGAAGCAGACATATCATGCAAACAGTAGCAGCAAAAGAAAGATAGTGAGGCTTTATTAGTATCAAACATCAAGTTGAAGGATATAATCAGAGATAAGGAGAGGCACTTCATCAAGATAGGAGGACCAAGAAGATGTAACAATGATAACCGGTCATGTACCTAATGATAGAACTTCAAAACTCATGAAGCAAAAATTAACAGAATTAAAGCAAAAAAAAGACAAATTTACAATCACATTTGAAGAGTTTAACCACCCACTCAGAAACTGACAGAAAAACCAGAGCAAAAAATCAGTGAGAATTTAGAAGACTTAAACAATACTAATCACACCAACTGATCTGACATTTATGGAATATTATAATCAACAAGCAGTGAAAAATATTCTATCTAGCTGCAGCTGAAACAGTCATCAAGATGAACTATATGCTGAATCATAAAATCTCAATAAATTCAAAACTTGACATCTTACAGAGTAGTTCCTAACTGTAGTGGAATTGAATTAGAAATCAATAACAAAACACCTAGAAAATCCTCAAATATTTGCATACAAAGCCACATACTTCTAACTCAACAAAGAAAGAAAGAAAAAGCTAAAAAATATTTCTAATTGAATAGTGAAGAAAACATAACAAAATTTGTGGGATGAAGCCAAAGCAGGGCTTAAAGAGAAATGTACAGCTTTAAATGTTTGTATTTTAAAAAGAGAAAAGGTTTAAAATCAACAATCTAAGTTCCTAACTTCATAAAAAGAAGAGAAGATTAAACTCAAAGTATAAGAGAGAAATACAAAGAGAAAAAAAATCAATGAAACAGGAAACAGAGAGAACATTAACAAAGGAAGAAGTTGGTTCTCTGAAAAGATTAACAACATTGATAAATGTCTAGCAACGATGATCAAGAACAATAGAGAAAAAACACAAGTTACCAATTTTAGGAATGAAAACTGAGCCATTATTATAGATCATACAGACAAAAATGGAAAATAAAGTGTGTGGATTTGTACTATGTCAACTTCAGCGAAGGCAGAATTTCATTTCCTGGAATTCTCTTCGTTCTGGGTTAGTGTGGATCACATTGGTCATTGCGGGTGAGATTTGAAAGGCAGAAATGAGATCAACTCAGAAAGTTAGTTCAGGGCTTTAGGCACGTCTGTCATGCACACGGTCTGTCACTTGTCTGCCAGCTCGCCTGGTTAGTGAGGGGCAGCACCCGGGCCTCCAACTCTTTCTGGTTCCTGTTAGGTTTCCTCCTTCAGCTTTTCTGACTCCTAAGCCAACTATATATTTAGTACTGTTACAAACAATGCCAGCTTCTTCTAAAGGGCCCCCCAGTCATCAAACTTCTAAGTCTCAGAGGCAGCGAAAGCCCAACGTGAGTTCCAGCCTACCCTCATGAGTCCCTGCTCATCCCCACAGGTTCCAGTTTGTCCTCATTTCCACTACTTCATCTTCTCTTCCTAAATCCCCTCCTGGCTTCAGGCTCCGGAACCAGGCATGAAATCAGCAGCCTCACATAAACCATTTAGTTGGATTCCACATTTACATTAGGTCGAATCACAATAAACCTGACGACTTAGAGGAAGTGGACAAGTGATGCAGAAAAAACAAGCTACCAAAGCTTACTCAGGGAAAAATGGATAACCCGACAGGATAGCCCTATGTCTATTTTTTTACATCAATGGAACAGAATAGAGAAATCATAAACAGACCCAAATATATACAGCAAAATAATTTTCAGTGAAGCTCCCAAGTAATTCAATGGAAAACTGAAACTCCTTTTAATGTGTGATGCTAGAACAACTCAATATACATATGAAAAAAACACTCAACCCCCAACGGACACATACACACAAAGTTAATTCATGATGGATCACAGATCTAACTATAGCTTCTAAAAGAAAATACAGGAGAAAACCTTTGACCTCTGTGGTAAGCAAAGATTTCTTAAGATAAAAAAACCACTGTCCATAAAAGAAAAACTTGACAAGAGGACTTGATCAAAATCAAAACTTCTGCTTATCAAAAGACACCATAAACAAAATTGAAAGGTAAACCACAAACAAAGAAAATATTCACAATTCATGTATCTGATAAAGACTACAGAGCATTAATTAACAACAAATAAACCAATTAAAGCTGAGCAAAAGATTTGTTGACACAGCACAAAAGATAGACCAATGACCAACAGGCACATGAAAAGGTGCTCCACGTGATTAGACAACAGAAAATGCAAACTAAAACCATAATGAGACAGCACTTCACACTTACTGGGAATGACTTAAAATTAAGATACTGACAGTACCAAATGTTGGCAAGGATGTGGAAGTACTGGACTTCTCATTCACTGATGGTGAGAATAGAAAACAGTACAATCACTTAGGAAGACAGTGTGAGCATTATTAAAGCTAAACACATACCCACCCTATGATCCACCTATTCTCTTATCCATGTCACCCAAAAGAACTGAAAACACTCATCCATAAAAAGATCTGGACAAAAGTTTAACTTTATTCATAATAGCCAGAAACTAGAAATAACTCAAATGTCCATCAAAAAGAGAATAAACAAATCATCATGTAATCATATCAGAAATAAACTACTGATACATGTACCCACATGGATGAATCTCAAAATCACTATGTAGTGTACGTATATCATGATTTTGTTTATATAAAGTTTAATAATAGGTAAATCTAATCTATGATGATAAAAATCAGGAAGGTGAATGCCTACTGGGGGTTTGAATTAACTAGGGGGCACAGAGAAACTTTCTGGGGCAATAGAAATGTCACATCTTGATTAAACAGGAGTATTCATTTGTCAAAACTCATCAGATTATACACTTAAGATTTGTACATTTGTACATAGGTAAATTTTATCTCAATATAAAAAGAAAAAACTCACTTATGAAAATTTTAACTTCAACAGAATGAGATTTTTTCAAAGCAGCATACTTTGAAGAAGATCAACAGAATTTGATTTTTAACCACTTAATTTTTAACGAAGACTCAAGTTTGAAAGTAAAAACTCAGATGCCCTACCAGCTTACTAACACGACTACTGCTCCAGTGCAAGAACCTCCCTGCAGTGGAAGGGACTTCAGCACGGCGCTGTGGCCTCCGTTTCCATAAACAACAAATCGGTTCTGTGTGCTATAAACTCATTTAAGCAGAATGGCAATGGAATAAAGACTTAGAGAAACGGAAAAGGGAGTAAAAGAAAGGCCAAAATACAGCAAAAAGGCGGCCCCGTACCTGTAGGGAGAGGTATGTATATCCTTTTCTCTAACCTCCTGCGCAAAGCTTCATCGATGTCCCACGGGAAGTTAGTAGCGGCCAGGACCATAACCATTTTGGAGGGATCGTCATTCTCTAAAGCTCCTCCGACTCCTAGACACAGTAAGGGGGGAAAGGGGCGTTTTTCTCACAGCCCTTCATCTTTCATTCAACTAACACGTCTAGACATCAGCCGCGGGCTGGGCGGCAGGCTCAGCGACGCGCGCGCGGCCCTCCCCACCCCCGCGTGGTGTCGGAACCACACACGCCGGCAGGCAACTGTAGCACAAGGAGGTGGGAGGATTCACGTAACCTACTGCAGAATTCTAGTCCAGTAAGAAAAAGCAATTTTTTTTTCTGTAGGAAAATGAATATATATTTCCTTTGAAAAGAGGAGGCAAGGGAGATTATACTGTTTCACTCTGTTATGTTTTTAAATCACGAAGGTCCTCAAAAAGTTTTTTTTATTTTAGTTGTTACTCTAATTTATTTGATTTTCTCTAGAAGAAAGAATAGAACAGGGTTCACATTTACTTAATACACTAGAATGCAATCATAATTTTGAGAGACAGGTTATACTGCAATAATTTTGTCTCTTCAGACTTCTAAGTGACTCATAAAAAATAAACAAGAAATTTAAGAATGAACCTAAAAATCAGTCACTGTTGAAAATACCATTTCTTCTTATATCAAGACAAATATATGTACACAGAGCCTAGTTTTTCAGAATTACAAATTTTAGAAAAAACTTCAGGCTTATAGAATGGAAACTGGAAAATATATGGTAAAAAAAAAATTAAAAACTCATGAACTTTATTAATAAAGAGTTTCTAGCCTGGTATAAAAAAGTAGTAGACTTAAAGCAACCCAATTCAATAAGGTATTTTCTGAATAAAGTATTACTAAACTCCTATTTCAGTTATTATCATAAAGAATCAGGCTGTCCAGCTAATAATCAACAGTCACAAATAGCCGGCAATGAAATTCAGCTGATTTGTATTCAGCGGTATTTTTAATGTTTAATGTGTTTTCTCTATATCCCTCCCCCAAAACGTAACATAGTCACTCCTTTCTCTCATAATTTAACAGAAATTAAAATGGTAAACTCACTGAGGGCAGGGACTCCTAGTACTACACTATTTTATGTATCTAAGAGTGCCTGGCACTGTACAAACACACACTGAAGTGTTCAGTAAGTATCCATGGTTGGTGGGTAACTATATCTGTTTTAAAACAACACACTCTGGGTATATCATTTTAACATATTTTATGGTTTCTCATAGTTTGCTTAAGCAGCCTCCTGCTCACCACACAACCACCAGAGTAATAGATCTGTAAAAAGTAGCTCTGGGCCCGTCACTCTCTCCCTCCAATGGCCCCCCAAAGTCTTCTCTCCTTTATCTGAGTGACTACTACCAATGCTTCAAAGCCCAACTCAGCTGTTCCCTTCTGTGACTCCTTCAGTCCAGGTGGTACCTCCCCCACTGTGTTTTCACTATACCTAGAGTTTATTTAGTTCTACCACAGAATGTTCAATGTATCAAAATTGTCTGTGAAACTGCTGTTTCCCAACTAGATGACTGGTGCTCAAACTTTTTGGTCCCAGGATCCTTTTTATACTCTTAAAGATGATTGGGTTTCCGAGAGCTTTTGTGTGCATAGAGTATATCAATATTTATTATTAAAAATTAAAACTGAGAATTTTTAAAAATATTAATTCATTTAAAGCAATAATAATAAATCTATTATTTATTAACATAATTAATACATTTTATGAAAAATAACTCTGATTTTCAAAACAAAAAAATTAGTACAAAGACTGGAAATTTTTTGCATTTTTGCAAATCTCTGCAGCATCGGGCTCAACAGGCAAGAGCTGGGTTCTCACAGCTGCTCCTGCTTTGCACCTATTGCAACAGCCCGCACTTCTCACGGCCTCTGAAAACCTCCACTGTGCACTTGTGGAGAGTGAGAGGAAAAGGTAAACAATGTCTTGATACTATTATGAAAACAGTTTGGTCCTCACATGCCTTTTAAAAGAGTCTTAAAGACCCCTGGGACCCTGGGCCGCATCTCTAGGAACTATGCTCTACCTAGTAAGCTCCTTGAAGGCCACAGCATTCCTTTCCTCTGTAACCTCAGAACCTGAAATGCACAAGTGTGCAAAAAGTACTCTCTGAATTCATGAACAAATGGGTGGACAAACAAATGATTATAAATAAATTCAGGCTGTCTTCTAGTCCATTCATTGAGAATTTCCAAAGTATGAATTTATACAAAATTCAAAACGGAACTGTAACAGTTTTGAGACAGTGATTAAATATCAATTACCGTCCATCTGAATGAGCAGTTCAGACTTGACTCTGCGACTTGCCTCGTGTTCATCAGAGGTTCCTCTTCGACTGCAGATAGAATCTATCTCATCAATGAAGATCGTGGTAGGGGCATAAAATCTAGCCTTTGTGAAAATATTTTTTAAAAATCATTTAATTACCTCATAAAATAATCTGAATTTTTTAAAACGCCATTTTCTCCTTATAACAATGGTTAAAAAAAAAGAAGAGCAGAAATTTCTCACTGCTTTAAGTAATGCCACCATTTGGTTATGGACAGAGGTTAAATCAATCAATCATGTCAGAAAAAGAACATTTCTAAAAATAAAGGTAAGTTATATGGTTGGTGAACTCAGGGGACCAATAATGTGGGGATTCATGGTACTACTCTTTCTACTTTTGTGTTTGAAAATTTCCATAATACAAAAGTGTCTAAGGATAAATTATCGGTCTATCCTCAAATACGCATTAAGTAACCATTGCAAACCCCTTACAAGAAAGGAACAAACTTTAATGATAGATCAATTTCTAATTGATTTTCAAAATATACATTAAAATACACTTCTACTCAACCAGCTCATCAGAGATCCAGAATCATCAGGCAAACCACACACTTTTTCCAAGTCTCTTCTACACTCTCTAGATGGGATGCCAAAGAGCTTTTACCTCAGAGAGGAAGGGACACGGAAGAGACACCAACTACACAAAATCCACCACCCCAAATCTCATTAGTGTGTCAAGAGCTGTTAAACTACAACTACACTTGCCTTTTTAGAAAAGATCCCTAAGTGAATGGATCTAGACGATAGGGATACAATTTGCCTGCCCAAACAGTACTCTGAAATTCGAAAATATCATCACTCACCATTTCAAACAAGAGACGGACTAACTTCTCAGATTCACCTCTATATTTAGACGTCAGGGTGGACGAGGAGACGTTGAAGAACGTTGTGCCACACTCGGTGGCGACGGCTTTAGCGAGCATGGTCTTACCAGTGCCTGGCGGCCCAACCATCAGCACACCCTGAAATTTCAAAAGATGAATTAAACGATTTATCAGATTTAAATACTTTCTTATAAAATATCATCAACTATTAATGTACATGAAACTTTTCCCATCAAAAGACAAGCTCATCTGTCATAGTAAAATCACAGTGCGTTTAGCACGATTACCATTTTATAGATAGAGAAAATGAAAATGAAGAGTGCATTCACGAGATGTCTCAAATCAGAGGCACTGAGAGATGGGCTAGCAAAGGGCCTAGACGACAAGGACTCTCCTGGCACACTCTGAAAGAACCTGCCGATTGTCCTGCACCTGGCAGAAGACAAACGTGCATGGTCTTGAGTCCCGCCTTAAGGGTGACTGCTCTGTTTAAGCAGTAAGGATCAAATGACATCTTCTACCACGGGTAACAGAGTTATACATATCTTGCCTCCCTGAGAGGCAAAACCTATCTTCCAAAACACACTTACAAGATACACTTTTAATCAGAACTAAAGATCCATTTATCAGTTACTAAGGTAGCTGAAATCTAGTGGCAATTCAAACAATCAAATTATCTAGCATTTTAAGCAGTTTAATGTGCTAGACAGTTAATAGTTTACATAAAATAGTGTTAGTAATGAAAGTCACTAAATATAATATAGACCAAAAGCTAAATTTTAGTTCCCTCTCACCTTTGAAAACAAATAAATAGAAAAGTATTCTATAAAAATAAATTAATGGTAAGTAAAAATTATCCAAGAACACCAATCCACTGGTCTTGGAGACTAGTGAATTTTTAAATACTTATTTTCTTCTAACACTTTTAATCAGAGTTCAGATATATAGTTAAACCTACATTTCTTTTGTATAATAGTTCGTGATCTTAAGAATTCTGTGCCATTTGTTAATTTAATGGAATAAGCTTTGGGGGATTTAAACTTTGAAAACTATGTGCACATCAAAGTTTTATAACCTCTAAATTCAGAAACTGTCTAAACCCTTTTCTAGCTATGTAATTTTGATACCCAGGACAACCAGGGATTACTAGAGTTTGAACACTAGTTTCATTTAAAAATTTTTCTGATTTGCAAGAAGCCTTTAACTATGCATGAGACTGATACTTTGAAAACTGTAAAAACAACTAATGGTATAGGACACAGTTACAGAGAAGTTCCAATTTCTCTTTCTAATGTGGCCTCTCAATGACCTCTCAGTTCTTGTAATGTCATCAATGTGGCCACGTCCAGTAGGAGACAATTTCCAGCATTAGCATCTGTGCACAGATACAGCTCACAGATGCAGCGCAGCATTTATAAATTTCACCTCCTCACAACATGACCCTTCAGCCATCTCCTCTATTTACTGTGTCCTCTACTGGCTTTACTTATTTTAAAAATCAAATCCTTCACTTGACCCTACACATCCTCTATCTACTCTCCACCTTTCTTTCCCCTTCCTTTCCCAGCCAATCTTCCTAAAGAAGAGGTTTATGCTTACTATTTTTCCTTCACCAGCTTCAATCCAACTTCTGCCTCCACTACTTCACTAAAAACACCCAATTTACTAATCCATTGGTCACTTTTCAACTCACAGTTTCTTTCCTTCTCTCTGACCTTAGATGCTGCCAAAACCTAGGGGTCATTCCCTTCTTTCCCAAACCCTTCCCCCCAGGTTGGTTCTGAGACCTGCTCTTTCCTGACACTGCTACTCATGACCATCTTTAGTGCCCTTCAGGTCTCCCCCGCCCCCCTGCCCTTTAAATTCCCAAAGTAATTCTAAGTCTTTTGCAATTTAAAAAACCGTTTATAAAACTCCTTGAACAATTTCATTCACATCCATATTATCAACCACCACTAATCTCACCATTTTAATTTAACTTAAACTCTATCCTAAGCTCCAGACCTCTATTTCCAATTACCTGCCGAGTTTTTACCTAAATATATTTTGATTCTATTTAAACCTGCTCTTCTCCTCAATTTCCAATATCAGGTACCCTGTATAATGAAGAATTGGCTGGTTCTTTTCCTCAGTTCCTGGGAGGCAGGTTCTAAATGCTTGGAATTTCCCAAGCAATAGGAGTGTCTTTGTTTTTCACTTTGAGCCCTGAAATTTTATGCTAATGAAGTGACTGACTCATAGTGGGCCCCTGTATAGATTATGTTAATGAGATGACTCAGGATGGGGGCCGGCCCTGTCAGAAAAGCCAACCTTGTGATTAGAGGATTGGGGCTTTGAGTCATGTGATATCAAAAGGACCTCTGGGGAGAGAAGGGGAACCGAAGATTGAGACACATGGGTTGTGATATAATCAATCATTGCATATGAAACCCCCATAAAAACTCAATAAAAAGTCTGGACATTGAAGCTTGAGTGAGTGTCCCTGTTGGCAGCACTGTGTGCACTGTCACGCACCCATGCGCTGGGGGCGGGAAGCATTTTGGGTCCAAGGGAAGAGGACACCAGAAGCTGCGCTGTCAGCACCCTCCCAGGTCTTGCCCTGCGCACTTTTCCCTTTGGCTAGTTCTGATTCACCTCTTTTTGCTATGAGAAAACTGTAATCAGAAGTATAATGCTTTCCTGAGTTCTGACTCATTCTAGAGAATTACTGAACCTGAGGGCACAGTGAGAACCACAAATTCACAGCCAGCTGTCAGAGGTGAGGGTGACTCAGGGCCCCCAAATTTGTAGCCAGCATCTGAAGTGAGGGCAGCCTTGTGGAAAACTGCCCGCAATCTGTAAAGTTTGGCCCAATTTTGGGCAGCTGGCATTAGACTAATTGCATACTCCTTCAATTCAAGCCTGGAATCTGGGAGTCATACCACGGGTCCCTCTCCCAGACCCCAGAAACCATCAGTCATAGTGTTATCACTTACACATTATAAACATCTCTCACAAATCCACCCACTTCTACTGGCCAAATAACAAATGCCATTGTCCAGGTCCTTATCGTTTGGCTGGATGGCTGCAACAGCCTCCTGACCAGATTCCACACCTCCACCCTCTGGGCCCAGCCCCAGCCCTCCTCCACACGGCGGCCGCAGTGCGCTCCCTACCTCTGCAAACTGCCCTCCTGCTAAGGATTTATAGGGCTCATCTTGATAAGCAGGTTATACCTACCATTCCAGCTATTTTAAAACCCTCTGAATATCTATTTTATAAAGACCTTATTCTTTCTTTTAAACATTGTTTTTAAAGTTATAATAAAGAGGGAATATATGGTAATATGTTCCCCAAATTAGGTAAATCTTTAATGGTCTATACAAGGTTTTAAGTTGTGAGAAGCAATCAAAATGCCAAGGGTATCCCAAGCCTTTCGTGCAGGTGCAGTTTCTCCTCCCCTTTACCTTTAGGCATATCAAAAGGGGAAGAGGTACTGAGGCGAGAAAAAGACCTTCCTAGCTAATTCAGAAGGGCAAAGTAAGATCATGCTTGTATTTCACTCCACCAGTCAGAGTAAAGAAAGGCTCTGCCTATGGCAAAAAAACCTCCAGGCAGCAGCTGTTGGGATGGTTTTTTAATGTGCTAAAATGAAAACACTGGACTTGGGAGGAACTAGTCTGGGGCAGGCTTTACACTATAAATCACAGAGCAAGTTAGAAAGATACAAACATTCTGATTACATCTGAGAATTACGCCAAGCCTAGATGAAGTCATCAAAATAATTAACTTTGAGAAATATGCCAGCTTTTAAAAAGGTATTTATTTGATCACTTATTCTAACTATGTACTATTACTGTTTAATTTGCTTGCTAACTTTTTACTTACAAAAACAGACATCTAGAAATCTCTTACAGCTCATCTCTAGCTCAGTGCCCCTGAGGGTACAGCGTGGAAGAGGATCGGTTCAGCGCTCAGGCCCTCTCCGGCCGCACACAGAGGCTGCGCACGAGCGCGCACACCCAAGCCCCGGTAGGTGAGGTGTGTGTAAACCTCCCCAACCTCCACAACCTCTGTTCACAGACACACAAAGACACTACAAGGCCGGCTCTTATTATCATGTAAGCAGCATTGTTACACGTGTATTAGTCTAATACATTCTCACCTTCCACGGCCTTCTAATCCCTTTGAAAAAGTCAGGCATCCACATAGGAAGAACAACAGCCTCCCTTAGCAGCTTCTTAGCTTCTTCCAGATCTGCTATGTCGTCCCTTTGTAAGAACAGCAAAGTTCCATGTTTACTCAGGGGCACCTTTGATTTACAGTCAATACTAATTCTTTTAATTTCTTTACTTATGAAATTATTTTCACATTAAGAACATTGTTCTAATTTTTACTGTAGCAAATCAATCAGTGAAAAAATATTGCAGTTATAAATTAGGATGTGTTATTCAATTAACAACCCTTGTCAGTAACGTCAACATCAAATTAACGTGTAAAATGTCTTGGTTATTTCTGAAAGAAGAACCATCCTGCCAATTCTACAAACCCCTATTACGGATGAAATTATAATCAGGAGGTGAATGTATAACAAAACAAGCTCATACCAAGCCAACCTGTAACTTGTTTTCTCTGCTACTTTAATTCAAGAATTTAACAGACTAACCAATGAATGCTTGGATTCCTAGATATGATGTCTCTCTCAAGGGCTTCCACCAGATCCTTATCATATGCAGCACCATCAAATTTTGGAATTTCACCATCACTTGTACCATCTTGCATATTTTTCCTTCCCTGGGGACAAGTGTAAAAAAGTACTGGTCAATAACAAGATAATGTTAATTAGCATCACTGAGCATTCTAAATATTGCTATATAACCATTTTCAATGACTTACTGTTTTTTAAAATAGTGTTTTCTGACTACCCAAACACCATCCTCCCCTATTAATGCATCAGAAATAGATGAACTGGCCAACTTTATTAGAGACCTCAAATTTACACTCTTGAGGGGACAGTTGCATGTAAGACTAAAATGAGCTAGATACCTCTAAATTTGTGGATACAAAGGATTTCCACCACCACCAGAAAATATTAAGAATATTAATAAAGAAAAAAATCAATTTACTAAGAATCTACTGCATGGCAAAAAAAAATCTCGTATGTATTACCTCATTTAATACAACAACCCTACAAGGCTGGTATTTTTACCCTATTTTTACAGATAAGGAACTGGGACTCAGAAAGGTTAAGTAACCTAAGTTCACAATTATTAAATGTCAGAGTACAGATTTTAACTCAGATCTTCCTGACTCCCCAAACCCATGCCTTTCCACAGCATCAGATGACCTCAGGCCTGGCTGCGTCAGCTTGAAGCTTAAGAGCAGGTTATGTACAGCAGAACTATTACTCCCCACCAAACATCTGCGAGAGAGGCTGCAGACGAGGAAGGAGTTGGGCCTCAGAACTGCATCTTACAAAGCCTTTTCCCTGTCCCTGTAAGGACCAACTCAGGACTCAGGGTTTCTTCCCAGTAAGGTCCTTGGACCCCCATCATAAAGTCAATATAATGACAACGGTAAAAGGACCTTTTAAAATAGTACCATTAGGATAATCAAAGCAATATACTTTACCCCAAATTCTTCATTTAATAGGATAGTGGCTTTAAAAAAGAATTATATGCTATTGTTTCTATGGAGTTCTGCCAAGATTTACTCAGCTCTGAAGAGCATTAAATGAAACGTGTTCAGCTGCCAGAGGCAGCTCACCACTGGAATTCCTTCAGCAGACAGAGCCATGCACCTCCCAGAGCTGCAGCCCCACAGTTACTGCCTACTACAAAAATGAAAGGAAAAATGGGCCAAAAATGAGTCGATTTCCTAAGCTTCAATCTGAAAAGAGAGAACAGGACGAACCTCTCCTACCACACCTCATCTGAGAAAAACCAGACTCGATCAGACATGCTGAGGGGACGAAATCGCTTGCTTTGGGCAAATGCTGAAGTTCTTTAAGCCACTAGGTAAGTGACCAAACAGGACTCTGGTGACTTGACCCCCAAAATGAGTAATTTACTGTCTCTGGGTAGCATGGCAACAGTATTAGGCTAACTTTTCAGAAAGATTCTTGATTCTTGTATTTCAGATGACAGATCCCAATATTGACACTATTAAAGGAGTAAATTTCTGGGACACCTACACAACAGAGATAACATCAACACATTCAAAATAAGCTCGGCCTAGCATCACATTTTATAATAAAGACAGGCCAAGGCTAGTCAAATTCAAACAAATCACTACGAACACTCCGTAATCATTTTAGAACTCTTCTAGAAATAAACCAACTAAAGAATGAAACAGAAACGGATCCATCTGGGACTTCACAAGCTTTGATACGGCACTACAATATGAGACTTACCAAAAACTCAGTATTAAAAAATGAAAGTACATCATCTTAATATGAATGTCCAAGCGCTAGGGAGGATTTGATAAACACTACCAAGGGAAAGGAAATGCTGTACACTTATCTGAAAGTAAGAGAAATCACAGGATTTTTAAGAATAATAAATACATGACCGTCTATGTCCAGGACATTTTATGGTTTTAGATTAGTCAATGAAAAAACATTATGTGCCCTCCTCGAGCATCCAGTCTAGTGAGGGTAACAAGTAAACAAACCCAAAACACAGGTAATTATAAAATATGAAGTGCGATGAAAAAAACTGAGTGGTCAGTGTGGCTACAAGTTGAGCAAAAGGAGTGGGCTGGAGAGACCGTCAGAGGCCAGCTCACTGGGCCCCTATAGGCCATGGGGAGGAGTTTAGATTTTACTCTAAGCACGTGGGGAAATTTTTGAAATGTGCTAAGCAGAGGAATGACAGGATCTGATTTACATTTTAAAATGACCCTCCCGTCTGCTATCTGGAAAACAGATGGGCTGGAGGAGAAACAAGAGCCCGCTGCAGTAGTCAAGGTCAAGGTCCTCAGTTCACAGACGAGGAAACGTGGGTATACGCCAGTCAAATGACTTGCCCTAGCAGCAAAAGGTTCTCAATGGTAGAGAGGAGACTGGAACACAAACTAAATATTCCAAAGAAGATTCTAGAACTTTTTTGAATCAAAATGGTGAGGTTACAGATTTAGGAAACTGAAAATAATTAATTTGGTTATATTGGGAAATCAACCAAATGGGTGACAATTATCGTTCATCACAAATATTCAGACAAATTAAAACAGGGATATTAGATGTAAGTTAGTAACTGCAGTTTCAGTTAATCCACTAGGTTAACTGCAACACCTAAAAGAGGTTTGTTTTCAGGCAACCCCAGATACTATCCACACTGTTTATAGCACTAATACTAGCTGCAGTATCACTGAAACGGTCCTAGAGGTCTTTGCTTAGATACCCACACTAACTGACTAAGGTCGACACTAACAGAAATTTTCATATTTAGCATGAAGGCTGCTATACTCTTTTTTCTTCTTAAAGCAAAACATTTTAACTTCTTTCTACTAGTATCTAAATTACCCATATCAAGAAAGGTTTATTACTGATCTCTCATTAGTATTGGCTAGTCATTCTATTTGAGGAAAATGAGGCTACAATAAGTGACTGACTCAGTATTACAAAGTCAAGCAATGACACAACACAACTTGGTCTAAAACGCAAATAATGGTTTCTGCATTTTATCGTGTGCATTCGCACCTCGGCAGATTAAGAGGAACATGCTCAGTCACTAGCCCTGGCTCTTACATTTTAAGAGAAATACTGACAAATAAATTACACTCAAGGAAGGGTGACAAATGGTTCAAAAACCATGTCATATAGAGAAGGGTGAGGGACATCGGCGACATTTAAGCTGAAGCTAACGGAGCAACACAACCAACTGAACTATTCACCTCCACGTGCTCTATATTACTCCAAAGGAAAGACCCAGGACCAATACACAATAACAAAAGAGGTCTATTTCAGAGCAACAAAACAAAGAATTTTCTAAAAATGAGTCTGTACAACAAGGGAGTCATCTCTCTTGCTGGGCAGTGAGCTCCCCAACATTAGAATCACTGGCTGATTAGTAATGAAAACCACTGGCCCACAGTCACAGGGATGTCTAAGTGGAATTATAGCTGACCTTTGCTCTTTCTGCAAAGCCACTGCCTCTCACTTGCCCACTTACTCGATTCCTGAATTCGACTGCCCCACGGCAAGTGCAGAATTTCTTGGAAATCTCATTGTTTCTCTTTTTAAAAAAAAAATGATCTGAATTCTGTGACATTTCTGTGTTAGGTCCCCACTATCATGTTACCTTTATAGCTAACACCTGTATACAGCTTACTATGTGCAGCCACTGTTCGAAGTATGTGACTTAACCATCTTAAAGGTCTTATGAGTTAGGCACTCTTATTATTTCTACCTCATAGATGAGAAAATTGAGGCACAGAGAGGTAAAGTAAGTTGTCCAAGGACACCCAGCTGGATCCTAGGCAGTCTGGCTCCAAAATCAGTGCTTTTACCCACTTTGTACACTATGCCATAATGCTGCACACTTTGGGCTACGCATACCCCAGCGTAAGTGGCAAACGGAGGAAAAATTAGACAAGGTCCCTAAACTGCCTCCCACTCTAAGACTTTATTACTTTACAAGGGAAAGTAGGTTGATAAATGCAAAATGCTTACTAATTTCAGTGGCACATCCTGCATTAGAGTGTTAATACAAAATCGGTTTAAACTGAAATAATGAAACCACAGATTTCTGCTTACTTATCAATAAATGTACTCTTGCAACAGTATTTATGAATAATTACTCTGTATCAGGCACTTTTCCAGGCACTAGGAAATAGCAATGTTCCAAACAGACAGAAATCCTGCCCTCAGAGGCATGTATTCACCTTAGAGGACACAATACATAAACCAGTGAAACACAGTAAAACATTTAGGGACAGAACAGCAAGTTCGAATGCAATAAAACTAAAAATGAAATAGAAGCAAAAACGAACACTATAAATCAGCTGCCATCAGAGAAGGAATTTGTGGAGTGATTAAATATCCAAAGGACAGAACAAGATATTTCTTAAAAACAAGTCACTGATAACATGAATGCCCAATAAACACATGAAAGAACTTGTTGCCGTATAAGTTATCAGGTATATACACAATACATGGTAAATATGCTGGTAAAATCATAGTAAGATTCACCAGAGATAGACAATATCAAATGTTGGTAAGGATGTGGAGCAACTAGAACTTTCAGACTCTGCAGGTGGGAGTGGAAATTGGTACAATCACTTTGGAAGATGACTTGGTGTCATCTACTGAAGTTCACCATATGCATATCCTGTGGCCCATCAATTCGACTCGCAGGTATATGCTCACTAGAAAGGCTTGTGCACATACCCAAGGGTAAGTACAAAACTACCCAAGGTAGCAGAACCAATGATAGTTTCAAACTAGCAGCAATCCAAAAACCCATTAACAGTAAAACAGACTTAACTGTGGTATACAATACTGTGTATTTATGAAAATAAACAAACTTCAGATATACACAACAGCATGGAAGAATTTCACTGACATAAGTTAAGCCAAAAAAAGCCAAACAAAAAAGAATACTCACTGTACACAAAGTTTCAAAATAAGTATAACTAATTTATGGTATCAGAAATCAGAATAGTGGTTACTTTGGGGAAGGAAGTAGCAGGGATCAGAAGGGATCACGACTATGGCGTCTGAGGTGCTAACTGTTCTATTCCTGATCCCTGAATGACAGTTCCGTGGATTACACGGTATTTACAGAAGTTACAATGCAAAGGTGTGCTGAAGCTTACTCTTACTGGTTTGTTAAGGGTCAATTATTAAATTTTCAGGAATTTCAAGCCAGCTGTGAAAAACAGCCATTAAGAGACACTAAATTACACAAACTTAGAATAAATTACATTAAAAACAAAAGTAATAATTACTCAAAATTCCTCACTTCTAAAATAAACTAGTACCTACACACTTGAGGTTACTTAAGTCTGTCATGTCTGTGTGCTAGAAACACTACGGAATGGTACGTTATTATCCATCTCATCTTGACTCTGAGTTCAGGGACCTCATGTTGGTAGCTTGAAATCAGTCACAGTGGAAGTACTTATACTATAGAAACCAGTAAATGCTACAAATCAGGGCTTGATTTCTTGTTTTATTAACTGTCTAAACTACAGTAATGGGGAAAATGTTAAACCTAAAGGTGTGTCATTTCTACAGTTGTTACAATGTAAATAGCATAAAAAAATTAAGGAAATAATTTTTCAGTATTTGAAAACTATGATCTGATTCACCAAAGTTGCTCAAGTGATTGACAAATGCATGAGGTTCCAACAAATGTTTCAGTTGTTTCACTTTCATCTGACTCATTAATGAAAACAAAATATATACCAACATCCTGCCAGGGAACTACATTCCTATTCAACTGTCAATTGCAACCTTAGGTACCTACAGATACAAGAGTTAAGCAAAAATCAGCAAAGGCATTCTGTGAGCGTCCACTTGATCCATAAAATGTACAATAAAGAGTACTGCATATGTTGCTATTTGTAAATTATATGTAGTGCACCCTTTATATCAGATTTAAAATAAATTTGTGTGTGAATGTGTACACACACACACGCAGGGTTTTCAGAAAACTAGTTATTAAACATTTACCAGTACCCTGCTGGTTAGATGATTATAATTCATCAAATAGTACCCTTATAGTCTGTGCACTTTCCTTCAATAAAAAGATTTTTTAAGTTACCGCTCACTTGTATAACCACTGATTAGCAGCATTCAAGAGAATACTCCAACTCAGTTTACAATGACTCTCCATACCAGACATCCCTAAACTTAGTCATGAGAAGGAAATTGAAAAATGGCCATTTGTTACATGTAATTCAATGAAATGAAGTCCCTTAAGTGTAGTAACTTTAAGTCCATGAAGATGATTTACCATATTTTATCTGAATTCTATTCAAAAGCACATACAGCTTTAATCACGAGATCATAAATGGAAGCGCTGCTCATTTCACTAAGAGTTAATTAACCATAAAGCCAGAGTCTTTAAAAATACTTGAGAATCAGAATTTTATGAATTAAATGTTTTTGGTTATAATAGAAACACATTTATTCTGCTACCTAATATTTTGCTTTTATACTATGGTTTTAAATAAAAAAATGCGTTTGTTATTTTACATGTATTTCTATACTGACTCTTAGCTTAAATAGTAAAATAATAATATCCAATTTTCTCAGGTACATTCAGATAAGACTAAAAAACATAGCTGTAGAAGATAATTTATTCATCTGCTTCCCTCTTCAATAAGAAAATAATCACCTTGAGGCCAGGAGTCACCCTTGATTAAAGTTTGCCTTCCTAGTACCTAGAAGTATGACTAACACAAAGCGTGCGCTTAATAAAGGAGCATTAACTAAACGGCGTTAACAAACTGGCCTCATGATGACTCGGTACCTCAGGGGAAAGAACTGTAAGGCCTGAGTAACAGATCGCTATACAAAGGGACTGTTATTTACTGAAAAGCAGTATTTCTAAGCTTGGACCTAACTTGAAGCTTGTTAGCAATTTAAAAAAAGAAGAAGAAAGATTTAATCACTCTCAGAAAATGAACTGGTACTTTTAAAAGAAACAGATATTTGTGACGCATTAAAATAAGACAGGAAGCATTTGCAAATAAGAAGCTACAGAGCATAATGATTAGGCGCTCAGGTGTCAGAGTTCAAATCCTACTTCCACCACCTACTTGCAGTTATGACTTTCGGGTGTCAATTTCTCCAAATGTAGAACAAGGGAAATAACACTGAGCTCACAGGAATCTGCAGGAACTGGTACAGCTAAGTGTGCTCAAGGCAGAGTAACATCTGTTGCTACTGCGTTTACTATTGGTTGCTCCTTCATACACTTCACAACACTAAACTAAAATCCAAAGATCCTGAGAATCTTAAGCAAAATATTTAATTTCTCTTGTCCTCATTTTTTCAAACATCTAAAAAGTTAAGTGCCTGGAGCAGAACAGCAGCTTTCAAACTTCTGACCATGACACAAAGTAATAAATCCATTTTAGACCATGAACTAGTGTACACAAACATATAATTATATTAACTAAATTTTTACATATTCATGTAACAAATTGTTTTTCTCAAAGTGTCTCTTCAATGGACAATGCACTTTGAATTTTCCAGTCTATTTCATTTTATTTTTAAAGCTGGCTACAACCCACAAAATTGATTTTAAAAAAACCAATAATACTGAGGACTACCATCTCTCTGAGGATGCTTCCCGCTCATTTTCAAATTGCCTTTCAAGGGCAGCGGGTATCACCTGACCTGCCCCCACCTTCCCGCAGCCTTCAGCGAGCTCAGGGACCCCAGTGTGCTGCCGAATACCTGAGCGCTTAGGGTAATCATAACCAAACCAAGTATACTTTTCAAATTCTAATGACGTTCACATGAGCTCGGGTTTTTTTTTTTAATGGTAGTCCCTTTTGTTCCAGAGTGACTCAGAAAGTATCGTTTATCTTCAAACAACTGCAGAGTTCTTTTTTTTAATAAACAGCTTACTTTCCAGTGACATTCTGAGTACTTACATGTCAATGAAAGAACAGCTAAGATTTAGAAAATTTGGAAATTTTAAAGTAAAAGACAATTTACAATATCCAGAAAAATTTATTTGACATTCAACAAATGTGGCCTGATTGTTTTGTTCTTTAAGAATCACATTTAAAAATCGACATTTATTTAATTTTTCTGGAACTCTTTTCAAAGCCAATCCAGATTTTTTACCTAGTTTGGCAGGGATACTGCGTAATATGAAAAATACTAAAATAAAGGCAAAAAAGATCTATGACTTCATAAATTCCATTCCAAGCTCCATTCCCTACTCTATGACCTTGGGTAAGTTACTTTAGCTCTCTCTACCTCAGCTTCTTCATTTGTAAAAATGCGAACAAAATGACTGCCTACTTCATGGGATTGTTTCATAAATTATTATGTAATCACTCTAAATGGTACGCAGCAAGGAAGCATCCAATAAACCATGACCAAGATTCTCCTCTTGTGTTATCTGAACTCAAGGTAAAGACTGAAAGTTCCTCACCTGGCTCTAAAAGTGTGCCTAAAAGCTACAAGCAGAGTGAGGGGTGCACGTCAGCTGTTAGTTTATTCTCTAAAATGCAAACCATAGTCAGCTACACAAAAATGAAGAACAGAGGGAAAAACAAAGATGATATGTAAAATACAGATTTTGAAGTATCCATTTATGTGGTTTTTGATACTGGGGAGAACCAGTTCAATTTCATCAGCAGGAAAATTAATTTACTAGTAGCCCTCACTAATCCCAAAAGGATCTGAGACGGAATCACTTACTGCTTTATGGTGTAATAGCTCCAATAAATTACAAACATAAAAAATCTAATTCATTTTCAGTATTCTAGTGAGATAGAGGTAGAATATGTCTCTGACTCTAACTCATGACTAGAAATACTCAGAAAATATCAGCTTCCATCCTAAAAAAACCACAAAGTATAGGAAGTTGGTCTGTGTAGAAAGTTTACCTACTGACTGAAATGATATATAGTAAAAATATTCAAATATAGTATGTAATTTTGAAGAATAACCAATTGCTATTAGTTCTAGCTATATTTTCATGACAAGTATCATGGCATAAATGCGATGGCATATCCTGAACCCCTAGCTAGGAAAAGAAAACTTCTTTGTGGCAATTCAATAACATCCTCATTCGTGTCTGATATCACAGAGGAAATGGGGAACTCTATCACCAAAAATTTATTTTTGGCTTCTCATTAAAATTAAGGCTAAGAAAAATATCAGGTCATCTTGGCTTCTTTACAAAATTATTTTCAGCCCATTTTTCTAAAGTCCATTTTAAGGGCAGTACAGGATTTCTACCCAGTATTATGTTTATTCTCTAATCAGTTTTCCCAATAAAGTAAATGTACATACTAAATCCTAACCAAGGAAAATTTTCTCATTAGGGAAAAAAATTTTGTTCTATCTAAAATTTGCAGATAAATCAAAGATTTTTAAAATTGTTATCCATGGTGAACCGTATCTATCATTTTATTCTGTGAATACGGTATATTCATCTACTTCTTTATATATTTTTCCCCTACAATTATGTTTTCATTTACTGTTCATTTTCATTCAGAATATTTATAAAAAAATTTAAAGTTTTAAAAACTTTATTTTGACTACTTCTACGTTTCACTTAAGATTTCTCTGTGTGTGTGCGTGCGCGCGCGCGTGTGTGTGTGTGTGTGTTATTTTTTAATGTATCTCTGAGGTTACTGACATTGCAGAATGGCCTTTAAAATGCAAAAACTGCTTAGGTTTTTGATTTAGACTTTTTAAAACAAATCTCTTGCATGTCAAAACCCAGGTCCTCTGAAAAGCCAACAAAAATTGTAATATGCACCAGAGGTCATGGCCTTCAAGTGAGTGCGGTACAAAGAGGGCGACTTGCCTTGTCGTCTCTCCCTCTCGCTCTGCACTCCTTGTCCCTACTCGCAGAGGGCCTCTCACTCTTCGATATGGGATGTGCTCGGCCCACAGGTCCCCGGCCTCCTCCTCCGGGCATTTCTTTCCTCAGCGGTCTTACTTCCCGATTAGGACGCCTTATCTGAGGTGGAGCTCTGACCAAAAAAAAAAATTTATAATTAAAATTAATCACAGGCAAAAGTATTTCAGTACAACCTTAGTCCAAAAAATTACTAAGTCAGTAAGCCCACAGGTCAATTTTTTCCCCTTTCGCCAATTCATGGCCACAACTATTAGGTCAGTTTTTCAGAGTGCTTTTCTGTAAAATACAGTAGTTGATACAAACACTAAATACATATAAATGACACATAAGCAGCAATTATTTTGTCAAAAATAACAATTAATCACCAACAGAGGGCAACACAGACTATTCCCATCTCATAATCTTAATAGTGTAATAGATAGTCAAGTACTTTATTCATTACTGTCCTAAACCAAGAATAAGCAACCTAAAAAAAAAAAGCATTAAAAGCTGAAAGGACAAGAATTCGAAATATGTCTATCTGCTTGGCTTACTAATTTATCCTTTAAAACCAAAATGATTTTCTCTGCTTCTGTACTGGAAAAACCAGTATTTCATTCATCAAATTGCAAAATGACAGGGCTTAACAATGAAATCTTAATTTATGTGTAAAATTTATGTGCAGAAATATTACTCATGCTTTGAGAGTGTCAAAAAATCGCAGGATCATTCAAATTATACAGGCCCCCAAATATGAATTAAGAATTTGGATAACCATACGTGGCGAAGAATGTTACTACACTTATGGTGATCATTTCGCAATATATACAAATATTGAATGATTTTGTTGCACATCCAAAACTAATATGTCAATTATACATCAATTTAAAAAAGAATTTGGATAAATATACAAATATAATCATGCTCACAAAGTGGCATATTTTGTCATGTAATGTCAAACATGTCTTCTTCAAATAGTGAAATTATGGGGTTTCTCAGGATTTATTTGCCTCTCTTTGGGTGCTGCGGGAGACGCCAACACTTTGTGTCTAATCTTAGCTCTTCTTTCTAGCGCTGTCTCTGCCTCTGTTTCCCTCCCTTCACTCTCTCCACAGCTCCACCTGTATTTGTAAGCCCTTCACATCTCATATGTGTATTCCTTTTCCATCCATATGCCATATCTGTTATTATCCCTCTTTCAGCTTCATGATTTTCATTCATCTAACTCATCATAGAATTTCTCTTCCTGGTATCAGAAAAAGTGGCACACGTGTATAACTCAATGAACCCAGAAAAACAGGAAAACGGATGAAAAGGCATAAAAGGCTGCAAAGTCAAGGTAAAAAAATGTTACCATATTGCAGCCTCTCCAGACCCCTGGAATCAGACCACTACGTGAAACTGCTAAGGACAAGCGAGGCTGGTGAAAAGTGTATGTTCACCTACTAGGTTACCGTATGTGGAACATCTGAATCCTTGGAGCCCAGTCCAGTTAAACAATTGTTTATTGAACACACACACCCATTAGGAGGCATGGAGCCCCTCCTGCGCTAGGCCCCCGGAGGAGACACAGATGACTAAGCCATCTTATGGGGGAAAAATCCACAGGAAGGGGACTTGAACATCGTGCACAGTAAAATGGTTACAAGGCATTTTCAAATTTAAAGGTATTACCATGTTTTTGGTTCTAGAGCACTCTGAGTCTTTCAGGCATTCTGCCAGTAAGATAAAAATGGGATGAGACTGGTAGAGAATAAAAAATAAAAAGTGTTACATTGCTCTACTCCTAGTATTTCAGTGCAGCTATTGTTTTTTGACTGAACTGTTCTGTTTCGATGAAGGGATGTCAAGCTGTGAAGCAGAACTTCACTTTTATTTACGTACAAATCTGTGTGTATATAAATGTCTTTCCTGAATGGGATTCATGGCCAAAGAGAACCAAACACGACCAACAATCTCTTGCACAGAACGCGCGTCAAGCCTGCCCTTCTGGGAGCAGCTATTTAAATAGTCTGTCATTGTTTGCGGTCCTGCCTTTCGGAGGCGCAGCCGGCCTGACGCTTCCGCTCGCCAGGCTGCGGGGCGGCTGCCGGGCCCCAGGGCGACCTGGGGTGACCGTGGAGCCTCCCTCCTGCCGCTGGGCGGGCCCTCCTCCCCGGCCGGCCGCGCGCCGAGCAGTGAGAGCCCCGCGGTCCGCTCCGCACTCGCGTCCGGCTCCACGAAGCCGAGTTGTGAGAAGGCTTATTTCAAAGCTGACCACAGCTGCACCCCAAGCGTCCGCTGCTGCTGCTGACATTGACCCGCCACTCGGTATTCCGCCGGGCTCACAAACGGTGTGAATGAAACTGCCCAGGAAGCCGGATGCGCCATTCGAGGCAAGTCCCCCGTCTCCTGGAAAGTGGGCCTGCGCTGGGAGAGTCTTCCGTTCCGACTCACTGCGGCTTGCTGTTTCATTTGTAACAGACTGTCAGCTTCCCAGAGGACATCCTTGATTCTGTTCTGTACTTCTTCCTCCAACAGCGCACCACTGCAAAATGTCATGCTTCAATTTAAGGACTCAGTGAGTTTCCAGACTGTGTAAAAATAAGTCTCCAGGCTTCTTTTCCTGATCTCTTTCTACAAAGAGGCCACAGTAGGGCAGCACAGCACCACCAGCCCCCGCCCTAATCAACAGAGGCTGCCCCCTACCAGCTTACAGCTTTTCAAGTACAGAGGACAACTGGTGATCTGCGGGTAAGTCACATGTCCACACTGCGCTCAGTTCTCCTATTGGAGGATACTTCCCTGTAGGGACGGGAAGAAATATGCCTTACTCTATCATATGCAAATAAGCCTGATTTCCTCCAAAAGCCAATACTCCCTTTCTAAGCTATATGAATAATCAGTATTATATGTAAGTGTTCTTACCAGCAAAGCTTGTAATAGCAAATACCTGGGAACAACCCAAACACCCAATACCAGAATAGATGCATAAATTATTATAAATTTACATAATAGGGTACGATATTCATGTGAACATGAATTATAGCCACATGCAATAACATCAGATGACTCTATAATGCTGTGTGTAAAAGTAAGTTCAAAGAACACATACAGTATGGTTCCAAGCAAAACAGGATACTGTTTGCAGATACAAATGTACGTACTAAAACTATAAAGAAAGGCAAGGGAACAATAAACCCTAAATCCAGGATAAACCCTCTGAAAGGGGAGCGAAGGGAGCAGGATGCAGAGGAGCTCATTGAGGGCCTTCAAGGTAACAGTAATGTTCTTTATCTTAAACTCCGCAGTGGGTACATGGATGCTATTGTATTGTGACTCCTTATTCTTATCTAAAACTTAATCATTCATATTATCTACTCAGTAGTTAGTAAACTTTAAATATGACAAACACAATAACACAAGTAATTAAAATTATCTGAGCACCTAGAAAAATGAAATTATAGGGTTGCTACAAAGTTTTCGGCATGATCAAGAAACATGCATGTGGCAGTGATGTGGGCTCAGAGTACACATCCTCTGTTGAACCTACTGGATTACTGCCTAGCAAATCTCCATAAAAGATTGGGCAACAGAAATAGGACTGTCTAACCACACCACTCTTCCAGGATTCCAGAAGTCAAAGGGAAAGAGACCCCTTCTCAATGTGCCTTCATTCCATGCCATATTAAGAAACAGTCTAAGATACTCTCACTTCTCCAATTGCTCAATAGGCTCCTTCTTAAGATTCCCATCTATTGAGCTCTTTCTATTTCTTCCGGGTTTCTGTTTCATGATTATTCCAAATACTTTGGTTACATTCATTTGTTCATACATTGTTAGAATTCTAGTTTAAGAATAAGTCATTTGGAACAGGTCCTATATTCCCAAGGACAGAAACCAGATTAAAATCCTGGAAAAGAAAGAAAAATAATCTTACTTGCCATGACATTAATCTATGTGAATTAAATAAACAGGAAAACATCTCTCTCCACGGCTAATGAAAAGAAACGTAAGTTCCAAGTAGTTTACATGGATGTTTTTTACTGTAAGAACTTGGAGTCAATACATGAGACTTCTGAGTCTAAGAGAAATTATTTGGTAAGAAATCAGGAGGCAAAAAAACAAAGCTTAAATAGAAATTAGAGGACCTATTATTTGAAATTAAACATTAATGATTAAGAATTTTCATGTCCACTCTGATCAAATATATGACTGCTATTTTTCAAATCAATAATTATTTATTATTTACCTAATAAGGATAGGAATTATGCTGGATATTGACACACAGATTTTGCAAACACTAATCCTGCCTTCACAGAGAAACAACATGGTGATCTGGAGTTAGCACTACATTTAGAATCCTAAAAACTGCATGCCTTCCTACTCCCAGATTCACCAATTACTGATTATATAAGCACATCACTTAACATCCACGAGCCTCATGTTCTTCTGTAAATGGAGATAATACTTCATACAATTTTTAAATCTATTTTTAATTGAAATATAACATATATTCAGTAAAATGTACATATATCAGGTATACAACTCAATAAATTTTGGTACCATATAACCACCAGTAGGACAAGACACAGAACATTTCCCAATATCCCAGAAAGTTTTTCATGGCCCCTGTTAGTAAGTTCAGCTGATAAAGATAACCACTGTTCTGACCCTACTATCATAGATTAGGTTTGCCTGTTCCAGTTTCAGATAAATGGAATCCTATAGTACATACTGCGTGTCTGATTTTTTCCTTTCCAGTATTCCCTGTGAAATTCATCCATGTTCCTACAAATGGGAGTTTATCTTTATCCACAGGTGGGTACTATTCTACTGCATAAATATACAATTTATCTTTCTGTGGATGGACACCTGAGTTGTTTTGCATTTGAGGTTTATTATTAAAGCCTCTATGAACATGGGAATCATGTTCATGGTAAACAAGCATTCATTTTGGGAGGGGGTGTCCCCGGGAGTAGAATAGCTGGATCACAGGGTGTACGTAAGAGTAGCTTTAGTGAAGGTAGCCTCCCGTCAGCAACGCATGAGCGTCAGCCGTTCCCTCCCAGCCATCCTGGTGGGCCTGTCTCTCGGTGGTTTTACTTCCCCTTTCCTGAATCACTACGCCGTTAAACACCTTTTCCACAATATGCTCACTGGCCATGTGAATATCTCCTTTTGTAGAGTACCCGTTCCAGTCTTTAGTCCATTTTTTTCAATCAGGTTGTTTGACTTTTTCTTACTGATTTATTGATTGTCGCCCTTTAAAGATTCTGGATACAAGTCCTTAGTCAGATATATACATTGCAAATATCTTCTATCAGTACATGGCTCTCCTCTTTGCTCTCTTAATGGTTGTCTCTTGATGAGAAGAAGTTCACATTTTACAATTCTGACTTACCAGTCTTCTACCTTTAATGCTTTTTGTCCAGTTTAATAAACCTTTGCTACCCCAAGATCATGATGATATCCCTTCCATATTTTCTTCTGAAAGTTTTATTTTATTATTTTTACATTTTAGGTCATGATATATTTCAAATTAACTTGTCTATATGGTGTGAGGTGAAGGGTCAAGATTTTCCTCCCCACATGGATATTCAATTAAGACAGAAGCATTTACTGGTAAGACCCACTTTTCCCCACTGAATTGCATTGGTGCCTCTTCATAAATCAAGTGACTCCACAGAATTTAATCTTTAATGATAAGTTCCGGTTCTAAAAAGAACTTTAGAAATTTTAGTTATTTGCTATCAGAAAATTATAAACAAGTATTTTAGTATGATATATTCCAGAATCTGTTAAAAATATTTTTTTAACAAATACCGAACTCTAAATGAATGCAAGACACTGTGCTACATAATATAAAAGGCCTTTTGTATATTATGTTAAGTCTTTCCTCATTATCTAACAAGAAAATCAATCACATTCAAAAATACATCGAGTACTAGAAGCCATGCTGGTACGAGTTGTTTTGTATCCTCAAGGGTGCTTTTTGTGCAGAAAATACTTCTTCAAAGGTTTACTTTGATACTTTTAAATATTCAACTTATTAAAGTTAAAAATACAAAAATTCAGTTAGTCCTTAAAGCTTTTAGATTCGCTTACAAATCTTTTTCTATGTTCAAGACTAGCAGATTTTAGAAGTCACTTTCAAGAGGCTTTTGAAGAATGCCTGATGCCATCTACCAACCTGACTGACTAAATGCCACTAAAATTTTTAACCTACATTTATAAACGTAACATTTTACTTCCTTCTTAGTTCTTCAATTGTCTTACTTAACAAAGCATAACTTACATATAAAAACTTTCATAAACTTGGTAAATTAAACTTATAAATGAGTAAGCCTAAATTTCTTCTAAATGTTCCCCAAAGTACTTAACATAAATTTATATGTAAAAACCACAGCTCCAAATTATTCCATAATACATTTTAAATTGGAATTGCATGCTTATCACCCTCATCAGCTATATTTTCTTAAATTACAAATACATAAAAATAATAAACAAATATGTACATATCCATTAACAAAAAATAGTATTATTATAGTTTTGATTCTCTTAGACATTTCCAATCTTAATTCTGAAATGTCCCTGGAGCTGAAAGATGCTTACACACAGCAGAAAATAAGCATCACCCAAGTTAACCAAGGTAACATTTAACCAGAAATTTCAGCTGGTATGAGATCTGGAGCTGCTAACATACTTCTCACACCAAATAGTATACAATCCCATTTAATTTCATGGGGGCTGCCTTCAGCATTTTGATGTTACCCACAGCCAGCTATTTCAGCAAGGACAGTGACTGGATTCTTGTCAGAGATTCTGATGGCACATACTAAGCCTTATTTAAAGTTGCTAAGCCAATCACTCTATCACTTCTAAGGTGTGGGAAAGGGGATGACAACATCACTAACTCTTTGGTGCAGTGGTAGAACTCCACCACTTCAGGCAGGTAAGTTATTTGACTGTACCTTGCTCTTCTTTGGTTCTAAAGATAGGCCCTTGCCTTTTCCATTTTATCTCTAAAGAGTCTGAACTTGAAAAACATAAAATATTAATTTATCTTCTATATAATTCTAAAAACCTTAAAACTAGATGGACAATGGCATTCTTTCAGATTATAAGGACTACATAACTTTTACAGATTATATTAAAATATTATCAGTTGAACTTTAAACATCTCACGGTTCTTTGTCTAGCTTATAGTCAAGTGCTGAGATTATTCTACTGATTTTCAAAACATAGGGAGACAAAAACATATACATTCAAGAAGCTTATAATTTAGCTAAAAATATACACATATTTTATGAATTATACTGGACACCTCTTTCTATCCACACATAAATACTGTAAGTAGAGCCTTGCTGAAAAAGAGTTCCCTACTAAACTGTAAACAAGAGTCCTCAAAAATAACAAACTGGCAGATAAGACCCTTAAGAACTTTGATAAATATATAAATAAAGTTTATCTCTAATGCATTAAAGATTCTATCTTTCAGTTATCTTTTCTGTAACATCAAGAAAAAACAAATAGGAATTCTTGATAAGATGTAACAAATATTCTGTTATATACATAGGTGATCTTACCAGAAGATAAAAAAGGAAAGGTCGAAAAAATAAATAAAAGAATACAGCTCATGACATGGCAGTCCTTTAGGGTTCCTGGGTCTCAAACATCGAAGGGCTTGAGATTTAAAAAGCACACAGTGAGGCCTGAGACAAGGCCTGAGGCCCACACACATCAAAGAAGATGAACTGAGACTAGTACATAAAGCCATGATGCTCAAAGGGCAGAATTTAAACATGCACATGGAAGGAACAAGACATCTGTCTATCTGGGCCCATGTTCTGTATTTGTGGATGAGGTACAAGTCTCCCCTAGAAACAGTAACCAAGAGCCTGCTCTCATGTGATTCGGGATTTAGTTGAATACTCCCTTAAGCAAAGAAATGTACCTAAAAGTGGTCCAGGCAGGTGACATCACTTAAGCACCTGGCTAAAGCCAACAGAGACCCTCTCAGGAGTGACATCCCTCTAAACAAGCCACACATTACAATGACTCAAACCTTGAAGGGACATTCTCAACTTCACCACAAACAAGAGCCCTCAGAAATAACAAAGAAAGATATGGCTCCAAATAACTTCCAACAATAGAACAATCAGTTAGAGATGATAAAATCAATGTTTAAAATGGTTAAAAGCATAAAAAAGAAGAATTTGAAACAAAAGAAACACAAATCTTAAGTAGTGTTAAATAAAAATAAATCCACACTGAAATTACTTATAGTGAAACTATTTAACACCAAGACAAAAAACAAAATCATAAAAACAATGAGAGAGAAAAGAGAAGTTATGTACAAACAACAGATTGCTAATGCAATCTACTACCATCATTAATGTCATCTTCAAAGCCCAGACACCGCGAGCCTGGATATGTTGAGCTGAACTGAATACAGAAAAAGCAGGATGGGGACCAGGGAACAAGAGGAGGAGGTAAGAGAAGGAGAAGAGGCCAGTCAGGGAAGGAAAAAAACAAAGAGGCAGAAAAACAGAACAGTGTAGTGTTATAGAAGCCATAGTAGTAAGAGGAGTGTTCCAGAGAAGAAAGATGGTAAACATTATCAAATGTTGTAAAAGTTAAACCCAGTAACTCTTAAGAATTAGGCGTTGCATTTTAAATTAGGAAGCTATCTTCAAGAATTCAGCCCTAATGCTGCAATGAATGGAGATCTGGGATTTCTACTTATTAAGGAAGAAGACGCAGTGAAAGGCAACAGAGGCAGATGACAGTGGTAAGTTGGCGAGGCAAAGATTTCTTTCAATAAACATGTAAAAGTAATGTGTTATGACTTCATTCTGACTCACCACTATTTGTTCCCATTCCTCAGTCTACCTCTAATGAAATAAAATGTCTATCTTTCAGTTGTCTTTTCTGTAATATTAAAAAAAAAGAAATACCAAGTTTTTAGGTAATTTATTGCAATAAATACCTAAAATTTCAAATGAGTGACTACTGAGTTCTACAAAGTAAGACAAATGCTCCCTTACATCCAAGAGATAAAATAGCCAAATGGAATGGATCTCCCACTCCCGGGACACTTCAGATGAGAACTCAGACCCTGGAAGACATCCACACCCCTGCCCTCACTCATGATCTTGCATGCTTTTCTTCCCTCACTGAGACCATCAGGAGAGAACTCCCACAGGGCTCACCTTCACGTCTACCCACTTCTCTAATCCACACCCTTGATAACTCCTGTCTTCCGCCCAGCTACTCCGAGTCAGCTGTCCTGCACGATCCACACTCCCACCCGCCCCTCTCCCTGTCTGCTCAGGGATGCAGCTCCTGTAGTTGTCCGCTGCCTCCCGTGCACCATCAATCTCCCCTGTTCCGTGTAGTATTCTCATCAGCATACAAATGTCCTGTTACTCCTTTTCTCTCTAAAACAACAAATTTTGATTTCACGTCTTCTGCAACTACCACTCAATTTCTATGCTCTTCTTTATAGCAAGACTCGTTCAAAGAATTGCTGCATTCATTGTTTTCAGTTTCTCTCTTCCCATTCTCTGAACCTACTCCATTATTCTCCACATTCACCAAAACCGCTGATCATGGTCACCAGTGAGCTCCATGCTGCTTAATCTAGCCTAATTCTCAACCCTTATCTTACCTGACCTACATGCAGTATTTGAGAAAGTTGCTTAGAATCTTTAAACCTCAATTTCTTCTAAAAATAGGGGTGATGAATAAAAGTACCTATTTTAGAGGGTGGTTGTGAAGATTAAGAAATAAACCACGTGGAGAGTTTATTACCATAGCACCTAACTCACAGTTAAAAACTCAATAAATGCCAGTTATTGTGGCTCATCAGTGCTACTACCTACAGTCTACCCACAGTCTGAAAATAGAGTCCATCCTATACTCCAGACACAGAATTTTGGAAGAGAATCACTCCAGAATGCTTAGAAGTGAGTATAATCTCAACCTGCCAATCATATTAGGCAATAACATATTCCACCATATAAAGAAGGATCTTAAACAGCAAAAGAGAATGTGACAATGATTGTATGTATGTTCGTGTATAGCTGAAAAATTGTGCTCTACACTGGAATTTGACACAACATTGTAAAATGACTATAACTCAATAAAAAAATGTTTAAAAAAAAAGAAGGATCTTAAAATTTCCTTCTTAACATTTCTTACTTGCTGATGATTCCTAAGTAACACTACAGATCCTAATCTCTCTTAAACTCTGGTTCTTATTTCCATTTCCTATTCAATAGCTTGGTCTGGATATTTAAGTATCTGCTTCAAATTTTCTCTCATTCTCTGCATCTCAGTAATGGCTGTCACACGCACTTCACAGGACTACAGGCTGAGGAAGGCGGGGACTGTGTCTGTTTCTGGGTCCCACATTCCCCACACAGTGCTGGCACCTCACACAGCACTCTGGCATGCAGCAGGTACCAGCATCCGAGCTGAAGCTGTCCACAATGTCTGGGTTATTTTCTCTTACTGGTTTCTTGAGGCCAATGTCTGTGGAGGTTTTACTATTATTATTACCTTTATACTTTCCACAGGGCCAAAGATAGATTCTAGTATATGATGAATGTTCCTTAAATATATGCTAGATAGATCAATAATAGTGTTTTTCTTCCCAAGACTTCAAAACAATTTTACAAAACAATCTTGTCATGATATACATCTCACAGGGGGGAAAATGAGGCAGAGGGATGTGAACTTTGCTTGGAGGATCCTTCTTTTGGTAGTGGAACTGATACAAAAACTTGCTCTCCTACCTCCCGATCCCAGGAAAATCTCCCAGAGCCTGGGTGAAAGGAACAAACACCTGTAAGGTTCAGGTGGCAGTTTATTCTCCAGGGGTACCTGACCTCGGCCTTAACTCATCTTGTTCCAGTGCAAACTAGGATTTAAAATGCTAGCAGTTACTTAACCTATTAGGGTACCCAAAGAAAACATAAAGCAACAACTTTAATATTAAGTCAGTAAGAATTTCCTGTGCTGAAATTTGACAGAATAGTACAAATTTGATGGAAACCGCTCTCCCCATCTGTATGTATACAGAAACAGATGATTTCCCTCAGTTCCAGGTGAAATAACTATCAGAGGTCTGCTTCACCAGTACGGAGTAAGACAAACGATTGTCTTCAGGCTTGTGTATCTATTGCTAGCGCCATCTCTCCTAAAAGATGTAATTTCAAAAGACATAATACATTTACGTGTTAAGTTGAATAAAGAATACTTTATTGAATATACGCTATGTCAAATACTGCTCCAATGCAGAAAATCTTAGTTTCATGGCCTCAAGTCTCACTGGGAGAGATCATTTTAAAACGGCCTCGTTAAAGAGAATGTACTTAATAAACTTATATGGAAAATATTATAAAATAATTTAATTAATACAAGATATCTTTAACTTAGGACACCAAGAATGATCTGAGGCTTCATCTCTTTGGAGTTTAATTCTAGCATTGCCAGTACCTCCCAAAATCCTACGTCTGTAGCTCAATTTCCTCACATTTAAGGCAATAAATCTAATTCATTTTAAAAGATTGTTTTGATTTATCCAAGCAGCTGTTGGTGATTTAAAACAGGATCATGATTAAACTCAGAGGACACATGACATACAAGGTACAACTTCAAACAACGTGGCAAAGCACACTGGAAAGCACAGAGTGAGACTCCCCGGGTGTGCAGGCGTGGAGGGGAAGCTGTGTGCTGTAAGTCTCTGAAGCGACAACAGACCCACGAGCAGGGCTACCAAATCCATACTTAACGACACACAGGATGCATCCCCAAAACACTTTGTACAAGAACAAGGTAAATTACATTTTCCTATTGACCTACCCTGTAATTTCAGTGTGGTATTCCCATAGAGAAAATTTTTAAATTACATTATTTCATTAAGCATTTTCAGCTTCTTTATTCTTCTACCACCTCCAGTAAGAATTTAACCAAGTGGATAACAGAACTGTATCAGGACATACATGACAGAACGTATCAGGATATATAGGCGTACATCAAAACAGACCCACAGAGACACCACCAGGTATGTGCAGGAAAGTAACAGCAGAGTGAATATAAATAAGACTCCTGAAGTTGAGATCTGGGTTCAAATCCTGGCTCTGCCACTTTCTTGTTCAGATGACTTTGGGAACATAACAAACTTCATAAGCTTCAATTTCCTCAGCAGTAAACGGGGTGCAGAGCAAAAAATTAGCAATAATATGGGTACACAATAACAGTAGCTACTTCACAGGATCATTGGAGGCTTAAATAAGAAAACATAAAGTGACCAATATTAGTTATCATCCTTTTCCTGAAAATGGTCACCTACTTCATGAGACCTGGACATTTTAAAAACCACATCCTCTCTGCCAGAGTTACTCAAAATGTCTCAGAAAACTAATGATTTACGCAGAATGTGCACGAAGGAAATAAGATTCCTTGAGGAATTTTATGAATGAAGTGATCATTTTTTAATTGTCAGTCTCTTACTATTTATCTGAAAGAACACCACAGTACTTTATTTCGGAGTTGACAATTCATTTTACTTACTTATTACACACCAGTTACTACCTTAATCATTAAGTTCTTTTAATTAATTCCATGAGGTAAGCATCCCCATACATACCCCTTACAGGTAGTGAAGCTAATCTTTAGAAGTTAAATAACCCACACAAGGTCATAAAGCAAGGAGGTGACAGAAGCAGAACTCAAACCCAGATCTCACAGCCTCAAGTCAAGTGTCTTCCATTAAACCAAGACTATCTAAGGACTATATTCACTATTCACTTTCTCTAGGTGAAAATTTGATTGTTTTATATGACCTGTAGAAGAAACAAAACTGTAAAAGGAGAAAAATATTACATAACTCTAATCTCCTGTAACTTTTAACCCTAAACTTACAACCTTAATATTTGCTTATTCTATTAGCTCACGCCCACATACTGTGCCGCAAACCTGTGTCAAGTTTACCTCTTTAACGTCTGCTGAACATACGTATCACTATGGCGTTAGTAGTGGGTGAAATGTCTGTGAATCTGCTTATGTAAAGATTTTATTCATGAAGTTTAAAACTACCAACCCTATGGTACTACCCAAGGTGCCAGCCAGAACGCCTTCCCTGGCAGCACCTGTGGAGCTGCTGGGTGTTTCACCGCTGTTTATAATACACATGGGAAAGGGAATCTTCTTCCCCAGGCAACATACAGCCTCAGACTTGCTTTTATGAAGGATTTCTGATCCACAGAGAAAAAATACAAACAATGGCTACATACAAGGGGAACTTTTTAAACTTAGTACGAAGGAAGGAGGTTAGGAGAAACATATTCTGCCCCGTTCATCTTTCACCTTCATCAAAAGAAAGGATGAAAGCACAAGCACAAACACAAATCAGCCCTGTGTTACGGGTACAGGCAGTTAAGGGAGGCCGAAGGACAAGAAATCACTGGGCTGGTGTTTCTCTAACAGGGAGGAGTTTTCAGGTAAGTGTTCGTCAATGGGGAAGATGCCAGCCACACTTTTTATTCAGTCTGAGCCATGACCATTAACATTATTATCTACGTCTGCTTTTTGAAATACATCATGAGGCTCTAGCAATTAAGAATAGGTACTTCCTACACTGAAAGTTATTCCCAGGAACAGATGGCTTTACAGGCGAAGACTACCAAACATTTAATGAAGAATTAATGCCAATCCTTCTCAAACTTTTCCAAAAAAAACTGAAGAAGAGGGAACATTTTCAAATTCAACAACACATGAGAAGGATTCTACACAATGACCAAGTGGGATTTATCCCTGGGATGCCAGGGTGGTCTGACATATACAAATCAACATATGTGATACACAGTATGAATAGAATAAAAGAAAACAATCATCTCGATAGATAAGGAAAAACAAATTACAACATCCTCTCATGATAAAAACCCTCAACAAATTAGACTGTAGAAGGAACATACCTCAGCATAATAAAGACATATGTGACAAAGCCACAGCTAACATTCTACACAACAGTGAAAGCTGAAAGCTCTCCTCTGAGATCAGGAATGAGACAAGGATGCTCATACTCACCACTTTTATTCAACATAGTACTGAAGTCCTTGCCAGGGTGATTAGACAAGACAAATAAATAAAAGGCATCCAACTTGGAAAGGAAGAAGCAAAAATTATCATTATTTGCAGATGATACAATCTTAAAAGATAGAAAACCCTAGAGACAACCAAAAACTGTTGGAAACTAATCAGTGAATTCAGTACAGTTGCAGGATATAAGACCGACATACAGAAATCAGTTGTGCCTCTACACACGAACAACAAAATACATATAAAAGAAATAAAGAAGATTATCCTAGTCATATTAGCATCAAAAACAATAAAATATTTAGGAATAAATTCGACCAAGGAAGTGAAAGATCTATACAGTGAAAACTACAAGACTTCAATGAAACTGAAGAAAACACAAATAGAAAGATAGCTCACATTCATGGATCGGAAGATTAATGATGTTAAAACATCCACACCCAAAGCCATCTACAGATTCAACATAATCCCTCTCAAAATTCCAATGGCATTTTTCACAGAACTAGAAAGAATAGTCCTAACATTTGTATGGAACCACAAAAGACCCCACACAGCCAAAGCAGTCATGAGAAAGAACAACGCCAGAGATACCACACTTTCTGGTTTCAAACTCTGTTACAAAGCTACAGTAATTAAAACAGTATAGAACTGGCATAAAAATAGACACACAGACCACTGGAGCATAACAGAGAGCTCATTCATAGTCAGCTGACATTTGACAAGGGAGCCAAGAGCATTCAACGGGGAGAGAAGAATCTCTTCAACAAATCCTGTTGAGGAAACTGGATAACCACAAGCTGAAAATGAAATGGACACCCTATCTTACACCATGCACAAAAATGAACTCAAAATGGATTAAAAAGACTTAAATGTAAGGCCTGATATTATAAAACCCTAGAAGAAAACAAAAGGAAGCTCCTCAATATTGCTCTTGGCAATGCTTTTTTTAGATATGCCACCGAAAGCACAAGCAGCAAATGCAAAAATCAGTAAGTGGGACAACATCAAAGTAAAAAGGTTCTGCACAGCAAAGAAACAATAAAAAAAATTAAAGGGCAAGTTACCAAATGGAGAAAATATTTGCAAACCATTTATCAGATAAGGGGTTAATATCCAAAATAGTTAAATATATATATTATATATATATATATATATATATATAAAGAACTCATAGAATTCAGTAATGACAATAAAAATTCAATTGAAAAGTGAGGAGAGGAATCAAATATGCTGTTTTCCCAAGAAGACATCCAGATGACCAGGTTCATGAAAAGATGCTCAACATTACTAATCATCAGGGAAATGTGAATCATAACCACCATGAGATATCATCTCACACTTGTTAGGATGATCATTACCAAGAAGTCAAGAGATAAGGGTTGGCAAGAATGCGGGAACCCTTGAGCACTGTTGATGGGAATGAAAATTGGTTCAGCCACTATGAAAAACAGTATGAAGATCCATCAAAAAATTAAAAATAGACCTACCTACCAGACAACCGAGCAATTCCACTCCTGGGCATATACCCAAAAGAAATAAAAACAGGATACTAAAGAGATACATGCACTGCCATGTTCACTGCAGCTTTATTCACACAGTAGCCAAGATACGGAAACAACGTTAAGTGTCCACCAACAGATGAATGGTTAAAGACAACGTGGTACATCTATACTGCAATGGAATATTACTCAGCCATGAGAAAGAAGGAAATCTTGCCACTTGCAACATGGATGGACCTTGAGGGCATTATGCTAAGTGAGTTAAGTCAGGTAAAGAAAGACAAATATTGTATGATATCTCTTATATGCAGAATCCAAAAAAGCCAAACTTCTAAAAACAGAGAGTAGAATGGTGGTTACCAGGGACTGGGAGATGGGGGTGGGGGTGGGCAGTTGGGAAGATGTTTCTTAAGGGTACAAACTTGCAACCAGTAGTTAAGTAAGTCCTAGAAATCTAATGCATAGTGTAGTAATTAAACCCAACAATACTGTACCGTATACTTCAAAGTTGCTAAGAGACTAGCTCTTAATTCTCACCAGAAAAAAAGAAATGGTAATTATGTTATGTGACAGAGTTGTTAGTGAATGCTACTGCGATGATCATGTCACAATATGTAAATATATCAAATCAGTGTTGTACACCTTAAGCTTACAAAATGTTACATGTCAATTATGGCTAAATCAAAATAAAGTTAGTGTCAGCTTTTAGCTTTAAACCAGAAATATATTTCTGAATCAATGACTTTCAGAAAAAAACGAGGTATTTTATTATACATACATACATACATAAAATTTTCAAGTTTGATACATCAAAATGCCATTATTTTCTCAGTATTTACTTTGGAACGTCCATGGTAATAATCCTATGACTTGAAACAGTCCTTTTTGAGGGGTAACACTGACCTTAATCCAAAACACCTGAAGGTGGTTACATCTGAGGAAATCACTATATTGCTGTAGACCTTAGAGAAGAATTATCATCTAGCGTTTTTATAATGGGAATCGTACAATCATGTCTAATAACTCAGTGGAAAAAATCCTGAAGGAATAAATTAACTATTTTTCAGTTCTTTATGTGCTTTTAGGAAATTTTAAGAGATCAACAAGTTACACATAATCACAACTACTAATCAAAGGGAAACATTTTCTATGATGCAACACTCTGGCCACAATACCACTTCACAGCAGAGTGAACTGAAAGCAAGAAAGACCCAAACTCAGCTCCTGGTCTAGCCTGTCTTACAGGCTGAGGTCTCCCAGGCCTCAGTTTCCTTATTTATGGAATTAATGGAGTTATTCATTTGGTGTTTGCTGAATACCTACTATGTGCCAAACTCTCTGCTAACACTGGACATCTGCTATTTGTTACTTGTTTTAAGTAAATAAATTTAAGGTCTGGGCCCTTGCAAAATCCCTCATCTTGTCAAGAGACAAAGAAATACAACGTAACTACTGTGAGCAGACTGTTAACGCCTGGGCAAACTGGAAAAGAGCCCTCCGAGCTGAGACTTGAAGAATGGCTATGAGCTGCTCAGACGGGGATCGTGGGAATTCCCTGAAGAAAGAACAGACTGCGCAAAGACACGAAGACAGGAAAGAACGAGAGAGAGGTTCAGTGCCCACGATGCACAGGCTGAGCATCAAGGAGATAAATTCAGAGCCTTATACTCCACACTAGGGACCTTGCCCTTTAACCTTTAAGGAAAGGTAAGGTTCCTTCTATACTAAGATTCTGAAAACTTGCCGTAGGCCCAACTAGATGAATCCAATGTGTCCACCATTTCATCCAAAGTTGTTAGTCTTTTAAATAAAATAAGTTTGGATGCTGACATTAGAAAATCTAACAGACCTCACTTAACTGGTACATTTTATGACTAGCAGTAGACTTCTCCTGTTATGATTACAGCAGTAAAACATTCTAAAGGCAAGGTATATGACAACTGGTATCCTTCTGTTATCAAATACAAACCCTGTAAACATACACGTGTGAAAATTACAAGCAGGTATTAAATTTACATGCCCCCTCAAATAGGTTTCTATACTTTGTTCATATAGAGCTTTCCTCTCTTCACTCTCAGTATCAATTAACCATAAAGTACCTAAAGAGAACATAAGGTTCCTTTTACCTGTGTTCTGCGGGTACAGGGGGTGGCCAGACAGCAGGATCTCTAAATGGTTCGTCTTGACAGGACACAGGGAAATCTGGGGCTCTGTCGATTTTAAAACTTTCCAAAGTGCTGACAATACTTTTAACTTGCTCATATTCTTCCAATAATTCCTGTCGAACCTTAAAAAAATAGCCTTTATACTACAAACTATATAAATTGCAAACAACAAACTGCTATAAAATGCCAGTTTCCTTAATGTCATTCAAAGTACGCAAAATAAGTCATTAAAACATAATCAAAAGACAAAGAACTATTTAATACAGATAGGAGGGCAAGGATTAGTTTGCAAAAAGACATAATTACATATCTTTTCTTAGGGCAAAGAGTTATATATCATTCATAATGAAACTCTTTCTACCAAAGAATGTGATAAACATTAATACAATTTAAAACTAGCAACTAAGTTAGTACCAAACAGGTTAACCATTCCCAGAAATCTATGTTACACTAAATCCTTTTATTGTATTTGTAAATAGCTTCCTCAAAAATTGCCAGCCAAAATTTCCATCAGCATTTCGTATGCCTAATATCACAAAATATGAAATGCCTGTGATGAGCATTTGAAAGCCCGACGTGGTATAATACCAAGAGCTGCCCATTCCAATTTAATTTAAACTCTTCTTCACCTGAAATCTAAATACTTTTGACCTTGTTTAAAATCTTTCAAGGCCTGGGTAAAGTTTATTTTGAATTCAAAGGTAAGATTTTCCCCACATTTAAAAACTTCACTGAACACCAACTATGTGGAAATCTTTGTGTTTTCAAACTTTGAGCCTGAACTAATTTTCTAAAGCAAACAGATAGATTGAAAACTGCATTTAAAAATTAGTTTTCACAATTCTATTTTTTTAACCAAGGACATTTTACTATAAAGCTGAGCATAAGAAACTTTCCCTTAACTTTATCTTGAATAACACGTGGAAAGGAACAAATAAAGGAGTCGTAGAACCAAAGAAAAATCTAAGTAAAATTCAACTGCTAATGTATGCAATTATATGCTACACTTGGAGAAATGAAACTTCAGAGCCTAACAGAAAGAAACATAGTAGAAGTATCTGAATAGAAATGGTCACTATTTAACACAATTAAAAACATGTCAAAAAATATTTCCATGCTAGATTAATAAACCACTCTTGCCTGTGGCTAATATGCAGGATAAAAGAACACAACTGAAAATCTCAAGTACATTGTTCTCACTCAGTTTGGTAATGCTCAAATTGGACAATAAGTCAAATCTACCCTGAAAACTTAGTAAAACATCAATTTCAGACTCGTGGAAAACTTAGAGGAAACACTTGAAAGGCAATGGCACATAAAATGGAAACTTCAAAGAAATGCTTGACTTTGTACTTTTAATTTTAAAAGGATTTTAAGTTTCAAGACTAAGTGGGAAATTATAATTCAAGTTTTTATTAGCTGTATTTAATTAAGTTGTATATTCAAGAGACACAGCAAACATACTAGTGGTTTTTTATTAGATTACTGATTCTTCTGTATTTGTAAGGAGTCTTTCAAAAGAAGAGGAAACTTTCTTCAAGGAAAAGTTTTACAAAAGGGGTCAAAGCTACATGTAAAAATGAAAGGGGAAAGGGCAAGTGGAAATACCTTATTTCAAAAATTTATAATTACACACAATTGGTCAACTGATGAGGAAAGAAATTAAAAGGAGATTCAATTTGAATTAAATATCTTTGAAATATGTCTCATAAAATACAGTATCAAAAATATAGAAAATATTAACTGGGAAAGACAGAAAATTACTGAGTGCATTTTAAATATATTTCAGTATTCAGATAAATAAGAACTATTTACAAACTCAAACTGATTTTCCAACTCTAATCTGTCAGGTGTAACAGACTACTGCCCTCATTCACTGAGTACGTAAACACGGCCTTACCTGCTGCCATTTGCCTTTGACAGCTGGGTCTCTGACGGACTGGCAGTGTCTCTGAATCTGCTGTATCACCCCCTGGTAATATACCATCGATGAGTCATAATTTCCAAGAAGTGCGTATTCTCTTCCTTTCTTTGCGTTGTCACAAATTTCAGCCAAATTCATCTTTCAGAGACCTAAACATAAAATATAATGACTTTTTATTAAGTTTCCAGTACTGACTTTAAAGTATTTCTTTGTATGCTTTAAAATACCTGCTTAAAACTACTTTGAAAGTCAAAATTCCTTGAGATTATCTGAATGAGTCTTAAAATATTGAACAAAATTTCTAACTTTGGAAATACAAAGGAGATCACAAAAGAACACCCAGGATGGGGATATAGCTCAGTGGTAGAGCGCATGCTTAGCGTGCACGAGGTCCTGGGTTCAATCCCAAGTACCTCCACTTAAAAAAAAAAGAAAGAAAGAAAGAAAGAACAAACACCTAAGGAGACAATAAGGAGAGAAGTTACACAGCCCTGAACTATCGATTTACGTTACAGTTACATTAATTGGACACTAGTTCTCCGTGCTCATTTATAATTACCACAAGCTGCAATAATAGTAAAGATAAACTTGCTTTATTTTACTCAATTTATTCTTGACAATGTAAAAATCAATGAATATCTCATAATTTCCACTGATACCAATTAAAACTACGGAAATTATTTCTCACTAAAACTTTTTGGCCCCAAGAACAAAACGTTATACTTAAGAAACACATTTTTTTAAAAAGAGCCTATAGTTGTTCATGCATCATTTCCATGCATTTAACTGTTCCATACAACTCAAATCTAAGCGAGAACCTGTGAACTAGATGACCTGAGCCCTTTCTGTTCCTCGTAGTGTAATCTTCCATGATCCCGTCATCCTCTATAGCTTTTCATCTGTGCAAATACCTAGCCCTAACCCTTCCCCTTCCACAAGATGCCAGGGAGAATATCACCTGAACACCTGGTTTCCACCAAAGCCCTCCAGCCCAGTAACTCTGGCTTTTCTTCCAGGCTTCTCAAAAGTCTCCCAGAATTATCCAAGGCTTCTAAGCAAAGATATTCTCCAATAAAAACTACAAAGAGTAGGAAGTCCAGAGGTACAGAAGAATGACATCATGGGAGACAGTCCAAATTGACCTACTCTTATTTCCTGGAACAATAAATCAATGAATATACTTAGCAGAGAAAATCAAAATGTTCCTCCATGCCTTCCTGGGGGAATTAAATTTTGGTAGTGTGGCTCTTCCTTTCTACCTCTTTCTAAAGGGGCTCAAAAACTCTTCCTCAAAATTAACCACATCTGTTCTAGGCATTTCAGCTGCCTCCAGTACACTCTTGAAAATAAAATTGTTTCCTTTATGTGTTTTGGCATATTATTTGCCCCTTCTCCCAGCACAGGTTCCTTGAAGGCATCATCTACTTGAGACTCATACTGCAGCAAACAGTACACTACTTCTAGGCAATAGGAAATTTCAACATTCAGCAGAGATACCCACAGAATATAGGACAAGCATAGAAAAAGTCTCTTCCTCAAATTAGAACAATTCTTCAGATTAGTCATTATGAGATAAAAGCATTAATTCTACTATGTGCAGGTACACAAATATGAAGAATAAAACGACCCTGATGTAAAGCAGGGGTCAGCAAACTGTTTCTGCAAAGGGCCAGAGTAAGTATTTCAGGCTTTGAGGGGCAAGAGGTAAAGCTGAGGATACTATGTAAGTACTTGTATAATAAGACAAAAATTTCCACAACTCTTACTGATGGAATTCAAAATATTATAGCAACAATAGTTGAGTTCTTTTTGCAAAACAGGTCTACTAACAAGAATGGAACTCTTTGGCAGGGGGTGGACGGGGAATAGCTCAGTGGCAGAGTGGGTGCTTAGCGTGCACAAGGTCCTCAGTTCAAACCCCAGTGCCTTCATTAAACATAAATAAATAAACCTAATTACCCCCCCCAAAAAAATGGAACTCTCTGGGGGGATAATATTTTATTTAGTTGGGATTCAAAGTTAGTGCTCTCTATCATCAAAATCAATTGCAAATGTTCATGTGTTAATACTGCTTTTTTAGTAAGATTTTATGTACTTCATGTTTAAAAGTCTTTTTACCCAGATAGGTACTGTCACATACAGATATAAAATCACAAGCATGTGATTTCAATTCAGTATATGCATTGTCCGGAAGGCATTTAAAGATTTTATTCTTCTCTTGATACGTCTTTTAGCATGCCATTTACAGTGCGTATTGATCACTTCCAATTGAAGTTTAGGTGGAAGTAGCTCAATTATGCACTTAAATGGATTTTGTAAAATAGAAATTTCTTTTGCACTTGCATCAAAGTCTGAAAAATGCCCCTGAAAATGTAATTTGAGCTCAGGAAATATACTGAAAATCTGGGTGGGAATGGCGACCTCACTTCTTTGCTTTAACTTTTGACAGCATGGAATATAAAATAGCTTGATATGACTAGCGATTCAAACATTAGTTGGCATCGAAATAACTTTTATTTTTGCACATATGCACTGTTTTGCCCTGTTACTTTCAGTGGAATTCATTAAGAAACATTATCAAGTCTGCATAAAACTGATTTCCAAAGCCATTCAGTGTTCAATAGTAGTGGATGAGAGCAGTTCCTCTCCTTCAGAAAAATTTCAAATCAGCCCTTGGCTCAAAAGATTGCAATATAACTTGACCACTACAAGTCACTGAACTGCTGTGTGGTAGCGGTGAGCCAGGATAGTCAGCTTCCACTTCGGACAAAACTTCATGGAAGTGACAATGGTAAGTCCTCAAGAGCAACACTTTTGAGTCTTAAGACATTAACGGTTCCTTATCACATGATAGATTCAAATATTCTCTGCAAAATACCTGCTGAAAAATAAAACAGTGAATAACCATCGACATTAACCACCCTACTTCCTCATATCTTTGTAAATTTGTTCACCTAAGCCTTTTTCTGTTCTACACATATTTTTACCACCATCAGTTTTAATGTATCTTATCAGATTCCACTTCAAGTTATACAGAATTAATGTTTTCTCAACTTTTCACAAATATTCCTGTCTGTAGTTATTCCATGAACACTATTCATTAAACATAATTCTTAAGTAACTTCAAATTCAGCATCAACTTCTCAAATGAACAACTGAGTCACTTTGATAACATCTGTTAATTCATCAAGAGCCAAAAAAACCATTCAAAATCATTTGCCCTATTTTTTAAATTAATTACTGATGTCCTCAACACTTTCAGCAACTGTTCTCACCAAAAGGCTAATAGTCTTAAACAAGTTTGTTTTCTCCAGACACATTTCTTTCGCTGCTACAATCAAACAAGATTAGTTAAGTCACCATCAGTAAATGACTTCCTCGTTTGGCCAACAAATGAGACACTCAGAAACTTATTCTGGGTGCAGTCTGAGTTTCATTTTTTAATTTTCTGAAGAAATTCTGCTTCAACAGATATTCATTTTCAAGTTTTCTAACCACTGCTTTCCTGTGACTTGGGACTAGCATGATGAGTGATTAGTCTGGGAACGTCAGTGTAAACTGCATTTCTTTAGCACAGCTCTAGTGTCATTGCACAGCAATCACAACGCGCTGTCATTCAGCTCTAGTTCGATACTCCACATTCTTCTGTGCTTTAAAAGTATATGTCAAGTCCATTTTTCTCATCGTGTTTTGACATGAAGAAAATGCACTGATGATAAAGTAACATGTCGCAGTGCAGTGATACATAGGCACGGGACACCCTGTGACTACAGTGCGCACCGAGCAGCAGCGCAAAGCCACGAGAACGCCACACAGTCCCCGCGGCAGCCACCAGCTCAGCCCCGCCAGCACGGGGGCAGCCACTGACCACAAGCGAACCAGTGAGTGTGGCTGTGTTCCAATAAAACTTTATTTCCAGACAATAGTATCTGAATTTCATTTATTTCCATATGTCATAAAACATTATTCTTCTTTTGACTTCTTTAACCATTAAAAAAAATGCAAAAACCATTCTTAGTTCATGGACCATTCAAAACAAGCAGCAGGCTGGATTTGGCCCCCAGAATGCAGTTTGTCAACTCATGCTTTCAGCTTCTATCTCAAGATTCTAGGGAAATAAAAGCATATGAATCCCAAAAGAAGTACAAGGAAGAACACAATAAAGTTAAGAGCAGAAATCAATAAAATAGAAACATGAAAAAAAAAAAGAAATTTCAAGGTAGCCAAAAGCTGGTTCTTTGGAAAGCTCATTAAAAACAAACAAACCTCTAGTAACACTGACCAAGAAAGGGAGAGAGAAAACACAAATAACCAAAATTAGAAATGAAGGAGAGTAAGCCACAAAGAGGGAAAAAAATACCATATGATATCACTTATATTTGGAATCTAAAAAAAAAAAAGACAAATTAACTTATTTACAAAACAGAAACAGACTCACAGACATA